TTTAGTAGTAATGGGGTTTCACCATGTTAACCAGGCTGGTCTTGAACTTCCGACCTCAAGTGAACTGGCTGCCCCCCTCAGCCTCCCAAAGTGCTGGGATGACAGGCATGAGCCACAGTGCCTGGCCAAATAAGGTGTCTTTAAATACATACACATAAAACAAGGTTACGTCTTGATTTGTTGACAAAAGTGCTGTGACTAGAGGCTTACAGAAACCTAACGCTGTATTTCCGGATGAGCCATGGCTCAGTATTCACCGATTCAGTGTGAGTGGTGGCTTTATAGAACATTACTGTAAATAACAGGAATTAATTGTGTTTACAAAGGTACGGGCAGCTAGCAGGGAAACTTCAAAGGACAGCTAGCATAGTATCCACATGCCAGCAATTGCGGGTAGCCTTTCCCACCTGTGGGTCTGAAGGGAAAGGGCTGTTAGCAGATGGGAGCATCTAACTCTGTGATGCTGCAGCGTAGACCCTGGGAAACGCCCCTACCCACCCACCCCTCTCTCCATTGACCAGTGTCCCATGTGGGTCACCATCCTGCTGACTTTTGAGCCTCATGCAGGCCCTTCCTGGAGCCGGGAATTATCCCTTTACCCTCGCTTTTGCCCATCCTGATGCCCAGAAATCTTGCATAGGATGCAAATGCTCCCCTTGCAAGCAATGTCTTGTCCTGGGGTTTGCAGCCTGCCACCCTCATCCTTGCTGACACCGCCCCAGTTCATAAACTCGACTCACACATTCTTCTCAAACAGCATTTGCACAATCCGCCCCCCGTCATTGCCTCAGAGCTGAGATTTCAGCTCCTGTCCCAGATGTGAGTCCTGAGCACCCAGCAAGCCTCTCCATGACACTGTGAGGTGGCTGTCATCATCCCCACCTTAGAGATGAAGAAATCGGCTCAGAACAGTGCAAAATGTATAGAAGCCACCGTCCAGCAAGTAAGGGGCTGAGTGTGGGCTGTAAAAACTGCAGGCAGGCTGGGCACAGTGGCTCATGCCAATTTTCCTGGAAATGAAAAACTGACATAGGTAGGAAGAAGTACATAATCCGCTGTGGGGGAAATGCAGACCTGGCCTTGACCCTTTCTAGCTGTGTTACCTCAGGCAACTTGCTTAACCTCTCTAAGTCTGTTTTCGTGATGGGCCAGACACAGTTACTCAGTGAGCCTGTAATCCCAGCACTTTGGGAGGCTGAATCACCTGAGATCAGGAGCTTGAGACCAGCCTGGCCAATATAGTGAAACCCCATCTCTACTAAAAATACAAAAATTAGCCGGGCATGGTGGCAGTTGCCTATAATCCCAGATACTGGGGAGGCTGAGTCAGGAGGATTGCTTGAACCTGGAAGGTGGAGGTTGCAGTGAGCAAAGATTGCACCACTGCACTCCAGCCTGGGCAGTAGAGCTAGACTCCATCTTAAAACAAAAAACAAAAAACACCGTGGATGATAAAAGTACCCCTCTCACCAAGTTGCTCGGAGGACCCATTAATACAATGGAGTTTTTCATTTAGTTCAGGGCCTGGCGTGTAGGGAGGTCTCCATGCATGGTAAAAACTCATGCTCTTTTTGTTTATTAAAATGGCATTCACATAAAATTAGCCATCTTAAAGTTAGTAGCATTTGGTGAATTCACACCAAATCCAACCAATGCCTCTATCTAGTTTCCAAGGCATTTACATCTCCCCAAAAAGGAGACCCTGTGCCCATCACAAGTTACTTCTCATTTCACTTTAAGAAAGACCTTCCTGCTTCTAACCATGGAGGCCATGCTTTGCAAAGTAGCGAGTTCTCTGGCACAGAAGCAATCAAGCATGGGCTAGAATTTTTCAGGTAGCCCTCACACAGGACTAAAACAGTATTTCTTTTTTCTTTTTGAGAGGGAGTCTTACTCTGTCACCCAGGCTGGAGTACAGTGGTGTGATCTCGGTTTGCTGCAACCTCTGCCTCCCAGATTCAAGCAATTCTCCTGCCTCGGCCTCTCCAGTAGCTGGGATTACAGGTGCACACCACCATGCTCGACTAATTTTTATGTTTTTAGTAGAGACGGGGCTTCACCATGTTGGCTAGGCTGGTCTTGAACTCCTGACCTCAAGTGATCCGCCCACCTTAGCCTCTCAAAGTGTTGGGATTA